GCTAAAATTTACGGATTGTTACTCAGAAAGATGTCCTTGACAACATATGTCAAGCTCATTGAAATCGGAGGGGGGGTGACCTTTTCTATATATTTACCGTATTTTTTCTCAGTGTATATCTACAGCTCTTTGACAGTTTTATATATCTTCATAAATAAAAATAATAATAATTTTAATTACGATCTTCAAATCCTTATTACATCGGTCAATTCTAGTCAATAAATTCTCATAATTTTGTAAGTTTTGATTTTGAAAACGTCCTCGCAACAATACCAATATTTGTTTATTCGTTACCAAAAAAGTACGCGCGTGATGTTCTTTCTTTTCAAAAAGATTGACAAAATGTCGTTTCCGTTTGCAATTCTACTGTCATTGTCTCTCTGAAATAATATATCTTGAAAGAGGGAGAGAGCAGCAAACATACACATTCTGATAAGAATAAAGCTGCGTTCGGAAACATCACTAGTGTATATTTTATCTTTATTACTCATTATATATAAAACAAAGATAGAATGACGCTCGTGTGTACACGAGTGCTGTTTCCGAACGTGACGTAAAGCCGAAAGTCGGTTTCAAACACTTACAGCTGTTTGCCGCTTCTTTTTTCTATCGGTACAGCAGATGCCACGCTGACCATTAACAGTTTTCTTCTGTACCTGTACGCGCAAACAATAAATTTTTCAGTTCAACGGAGCACGCGAACGATAAGATAAACTAAATGTAATACTTTTATAAATTTTTTTTTTCAATTATTAAGAGGGTACTGGATACCGACTATAGAGAGCTGTAAACCGACGTTTCTCTTTTCACGTTCTGAGTCGTATTTACCGCATCAAATCGAAAACGCTTCTCTAGAAATAAATAAATTGTGTTAAGACAGTGCGCTAGCTTTTTGGAATGTCAAACTTCAACAAAAAGTTTTTCTTATACAGTTTCCTTCGATAACCTCACCATATATTTATGTATGTAGAATTCTTTGCAAGCTTATGTACATATTTACACTGTGTTAGCGCACTAAGTACGCCAAAAAAAAAGTCTAATGAAACATTAAGATTATGGTTTGACTATCTAATTGATGAGAGAACAACGTCATGGTGTGATGATGTATATATGATACCATATACTATCATTATGAATGAAAAAAAGTTCAAAAAAGCATAATATACCCATTTTCAAAAGCTTTATATAGTTTTGTATATTTATTAGGTCTACCGGAAAGTTCTGTCCGTTTTTGGAATAAAACAAAATACAAATTTTTCCAAATTTTTCAAAAATGGGATATACAAATTGCCCTTACGCTGGCAAGAAATCATAAATATAATAATGGCAATTATATTATTTAATAAAGTTTATTGACGGTAAGAAAAATTTGTATTTTGTTTTATTCCAAAAACGGACAGAACTTTCCGGTAGACCTAATAT